AAGTATTTTAAAGTCTATTCTCTGAGATACAGGGAGCCAGTGTAAGGACTTTAGAACTGGGGTGATGTGCTCTACTTTCTTAGTCTTAGTGAGGACACGGGCAGCAGCGTTCTGGATCATCTGCAACTGTCTGATCCACTTGTGAAAATACTGTTGCAGTAATCAATTCGACTAAAAATTCGACGGAGCCCTTGCTCCATCTGATAATGATGTTTAATAGAACATTTTCCTCAAATGCTAGACTAATTCTAAAACGCTTTAGTGTTTTAATATGCCTCATTGATTATCTGGCTTGTTTCACATTAAGCAGTTTATTAGTTAATGCAGTAGGAAACTTTTTTTTGGAAACTTAAAGTTTTACTTTGAACATCATTACATTCAGTGAGTAGCATTTCAGTTGTTTTTCAACACACATCTCACAACAGCCAGAGATGCCTAAGCCAATCGCACAGATCATATGACATGATACAGAGAGACGGGAAACTGCAGCAGCAAATACAGTCTCTCTTTTACTTGGATCATGAAAGGTGAAAACACTTAGCTTTTAAGGGAAAACGTTATTTGTTAGATCCGCAGAGTAAATTAGGCTGCCTTTAATATACCTTTACAAGCAATGCACACAAAAATTCCCTTATCACTGGAGAGCAGGTTGATCCATTTTTTAGCAAAAATAATAACATCAAACCAACAGTTCGCATTTTCTGAAGAAAACCAAATTTAAACCATTTAATCATACTCAGATGAACAATGCATTGATTTAGAAACCACCTTGTTAAATTATACATTTATTTAGTGTTTACAACCTGAATATCACACTGTAAAGATAAATTGTTTCAGAAAATGCCATGAGACTGGGCTCTGTTGTCGGCACTTAAAAATTGAATATTTTTCAGTTCCATCATAATCTCAAAGTCTGCTTTCTCTGTTGAAACAAACAAAAAGAAATATTGATATTAGTCGTGTAAGGCCATAATTCTTTGATTCCTCTGTCAGCACATGCCCTTGTTAATTGGACCTCAAAGTTATGTGTAGGTGGATTCAGGTCTTCCTGTTGGGATGAACTCTAAGCAGATATATGATGTATTTAATGTTCACATTTGTAAAAAATAAAATAAGAAAAATGCAAATCTGCTAAAAAAAAAAAGAAGAAACATAAAGTTAATAAGCATAAACGATCCACGCTGATCCAACAGTTTACGTCCTTTTCTGTTCAAATGTATTAAAACAATATAAAATGATTGATTTTTTTGACTCCTGAAGCGATTTATTTGTAATGCAGCCCTTTAGGATTGTTATTTGATTTGTTGAATTATTGTGGCCCACTCTGCCAGTCATTTGTGCAATAAAACAATAATTCCTGGACAGTTGCCATTCTCTGTTTAAAACAAACATTGCCACTGTCGGCTTCGCTGTATTGATGTGAAATGTTTTGTGAATTCACGTATGTCCCGTGACATTAAATAAAATAAAAGGACAACAGATTTCACTGACTTTTTGGATAAGTTAATCTACCTTGCAGCCACAACAGCATCGCAGCGTTGAGGTAAATGAGTCACTTGCACAAAAGCCGTCCCACATTTTGCCCTTTAGCAACCTTTAAAATTTCAACACGGATAACCTTCTTCCAGCCACCGGCAGATGAGTGCAGTTTCTGATGCGGTGCAGGCTCCATGACAGCTCCTCCATTGTGTGCCAATCTGGTGCTGATTACTTCTGTTGTCCGAATCACAGATTCCCTCACTGTAATCTCTGTTGTCTCTGGTGTTGCTAAGAGGAGTGAATCTCCAAGGAAACCCTCATAATTAGTTTGAAATTCAAGACAATGAAAAGTGAAATGTTAAAGTTTAAATTTGATCAAATTACAAGTCCTTCAGACGCAATTTGTAATCAGGAAAAATGAGGTTGTGTGCATAAAGTGATATCAGGTACAAATTAAGTGACGCAGTCACTTCAATGCATCCACTCACATATTAGTGGTAATCTTAGAGCTTATTCATGCGAAACAAGAAAGACCTGACAAAGCCAAGGGCAATTCCACATGTACCGAGTAATTGATTGTCAAGTACAAAGAGCAATTTAACACTAAGGGATGAAAAAAAAATACACTTGAAGAAATCCAACTGAGAAATTTCATTTAAGTTGTACGTTCAGCTAGAATAGATCAAAGTTTGAAACAATTACTGGCTCAAGGTGCTTATATCTCCAGAGCTTATGGTCAAATGGGATGAGCGTGAATGACAAAATGGGTCAAAGACAGACTTACTTCTCACAGCAGAAATAACACTCACCAGCACTGATGAAGAATAGCAGCCTAGATGTATTTTTAAATATATCTGGGCAACCATTTCTGTGTAAAAACGACAGCTGATTTCTGATCTTGGGCTCAGCTGCCAGCTTCATTAGGCTCACATGGGAACCTTAAATTACAAGCAAAATCCAAAGGCAACATGCAAAGTAGAGATTTTAGATATTCTGCAAATGTCATGCTGAAACTCAACACGGAACCAGCTTAATCAAACACAAAGAAACCAGAGTGGGAGAACAGGATTTACAAAGCACAGCACAGTTCAACAGGAGGGAGAATGTTCCATAAGACCCATATTTATGGTCAAAACCTTAGATACACTGATCATAGATATGTTAGATTTATTTTGATGATTTTATGCATGTGTTATTCTTGTTCCACGAAACAATACACCATACAACCTAAATTATGTCAATAGGAGGAGAACATTTATTTTTAAAAAAATCTAAAAAATTGAAAAAAGAATTGAATTTGTTAGGGTAGATTTTCAGATACCTGGAACATGATGATCTCAAGTGCTTAAATTAACTTTTTAAGTTTATTGCAGACATTTCACCATTTGTCCAAAAGGCCCCTTCAGCTCTGACAATGAGATCAAGCTGTAGTTTCATCAAACTAATAAAGCTATTTGGTCATCAATGGGGGGTTTTGGTTTAGAGGTAAAATGTCACCAGGGAACAAAAGCAGATGTACAAAAGCCATCAATATAAGCATTTACCATGAATTAATATAAATTCTAGATGCAGGTTTAAACCTATGGATACACCTCCATTTACAGTTGGATAGATTTCCTTTGGCAGTTTGTTTTTGTTGCCAAAAATTGGCTTCTGGCATGACTCTGACAGATTACCTCTCCACTCTGTTTGGCAGAATTGGTAGAGTGAATTTCTTTTATTGTGTGGGGGTCCTGTTTTGCACATCTAGCTCTGGGAAAAGATGTCCCAGAGCTAAACGATAGGTGAACAGATGTGATTTATCAAGCAGATCATTATGACTCTTGACTCACTGAACTGCTCACACCACACACCTCTTCCCGGACCCGGTCAGGCCAACAGCACCGCCTGGAATGGGCAACAGGGCCTTTGAAGCCGCAGCTCCCCGTCTGTGGAATTCCCTCCAAGACCACCTT